GAATATTTGAAATGTTATCAGTGGTAACGTTAAGAGGAAATCCTAAATGTAAGTGCCACATCTTCATTGCTCTGATTTCTTTTCCATTGAGTATTTACAACTAACAACTTCACATGTAACTAAAGACTTCTTTCTTTTTCTTTAGAAGCTCTTTTTTAAGACAACTGCTTAGAAATATTTTCTGAATGAAAGACAGTATTTCCTGTCTGCTTCCAGAAAGGCACTGTCTAAATAAACATATTTAATTTATAGATTCACTTTCTGCAAGCCTTGGACTCCGATTAGTGGGTCCTTATGATATCCTTGCCGGAAGACATAAAATGAAGAAAAAGTCAGCAAGCCTGAACTTTAACCTTCACTGGAGATTTTACTATGATCCTCCTGAGTTCCAGACCATTATTATTGGAGATTGTAAAACTGAGTTCCACATGGGCTATTTCAGGTAAAGGGTCTTTTCTTCTCCTAAAATACAGCTACTGTCCCTGTTAATGAGTGTAAGCAGATGTTCACTGGCCTCACCCAAGGTGAAGGACGTGTACCCTCTCCTGGTGGGTACACAGGCTGTCTGCTGTTCTAACCTACTAACCTACCCTGGGATGGGTGAGCTCGTTAGGCTGAACCTCTCCAGCTTTTCCTCTGTAGTTATAAACTTTTGTTTTCCGTTTGAGTTCAGAAAAGCTCTTTTAGCCTAGGAAAGGTAATTTAGAGCAGCTGCTGTGACTTAAGTTGGCCCTGTGCTTCCAGGGGCCGTAGAATTAAGAACGCGCTTTGGAGGCAGGCTGGTCCTCCTACTTATTACCTGGCTCACCCTGTGCCAGTGACCTGCTGTGACTCAGTTTCCTGTCCTGTGATCATCAGACACGCCTGATGGGAATGTTCGGAGGGTTAAATGACACATGCAGGAAGCTTAGACTGCTAGAAGTAGCGCTGGGGGGGGCTCCTCCACTTGGAGCGGCGCTGGCGCTGACAGTGGGGCGGGGAGAAGAGGACTGGAGAAGGGGTGCAGGGGCGCCGGGGTCTGCTGGCTTCCTGCCGCCTCACCAGGACCTCGGCCGAGTCGCTTCGTCTCCATCGGTTCCCTCAGGCGTAGAGTAAAGGGATTTGGTTAGAGATGTGAACCGGCTCCTTGCGCTGCCAGTGTTTTATGATCCTTTCTGTCCTGTTTCTTTTGGTTTTTCCACCTTTCTTTTTTTTCACGGACTGTTAAACTGGGGTAGAGATGATTGTGTATAATTTCACCTCCTTTTGACAAGCTTTATTCCCTCTTTCTTTGTATTCAGGTATAAAAGTAACTAGGTCCTAAGAATCTTAATTTTAGGTTCTGTTATATAAATAAGATTTGTCGTAGATATTCGTAAGAAAACTAGAGCTTAAACCTGGCAAATTCACTGGCAGTTTTTTGAAACATGCAGATATAATTTGTTGTTTATAGACCTAAAATTCTACTTTGCTGATAATACAAATTATGGGCAGCTAAATTTTTAATATCTTTTGCTTAAACAGGGATTCTCCTGATGAACTTCCTGTATTTGTCGCTACAAATGAAGCAAAGAAAAATTGTATAATTGTTCAAAATGGAGATAATGTGTTTGCTGCAGTCAAGTAAGAAAATGTTTTATTTCAGTATGTCTCCTATTTATATTGGTTTACAATTTTTGTACTGTATCAGTCCATCTCTGAGGGGAAATGAGGTAACCAAAAATTTTTAGATACCTGGAGATCATTTACATGACTTTTGCAGGCATCTTATCCACACTTCAACTTTTCGCCAAACAACAGACCTCTTTTATAACTAATCATTTAATGAAAATATTACTTAATCTTGACCTTGTTTGTCCCGTGGCAAACTCAAAAGATTTTTTAGGCATCTTAGGTCCAACAGTCTTGAAGAGTTCGTTCCGAGAACCTGTGGTATGTGGTTGAGACGGAAGGATGAGTGCGGTGAAGCCACCGTCGGGGCACATCGCAGGGAGCCAGCCGCCGGGGAGCCGGAGCGCCAGCTGCGGCCACACAAGTGCTCCGGGACCGTGTGGTCTGGCAGGACCTGCGCCGGTGAGAGGGGGCCCCTGCCCGCCTCCCCTCCACCCTGGAGGCTGAGACCTCTGCATGCAGGTGGGGCTGGAGCTGGACCTCCACCCCCCCCCCCCCC